GCGATAACGATTGCAAAAGTTAGCGCGATTTTTTCCCGAAACTTCTTCGTCGTATCCCATGATTAATTCATACTAAACACACCCACAAATCTCAAACTTCTCGAGTCGTTCGGACCCTAATAGGTGTTCAAGATACATTATCTTTCCTTGCTGTATTTCTTCGGCATATAGACCGAGGCGTGTAACATGGAATTCGCGATTTTTCGATATCGTCATCGGACGAACAATTGCGGGAAACAGAAGCCGCGGATGGGTTAAATTTCATATTCTTGGATCATTGTGATCAGCGAAACGTACGGCGAGCGGTCCCAAGCCGCAGAAACGGGATGATGCTTTACGGGCTGACGCGGCGCTGTCCGTCACGATGGGCGCCGCAGCGTGGTTCACGGAACCCTGCCCGAACCCCCTAGGCATTGCGAATATATATCTCTGTTTGGATTACACTGGACTACCAATAGGGTAAACACAAGCACACCCACCCGTGGAACGTTTGGAAATCGAGGAAGAGAGAGACGATGAACAACGTGAGAGGAACGGAGAGGATGAGATAGAGGAATGTACAGGATGGAAGGAAACAGCGATAGGTGGTAGAAATGGCGGTGCGAGAGGCCAGGGGGTCGGTTGAACCACGACGAGGGGGTGGCTAGGGAGGTCGACGCGTGCGGGCATTGCGATCCGTCAGAGCGGGTAAACCGAAAACATAAATTTAATAGGTTTCACCCCCTTCTTCGAGCTTTATGGCGCCACCGAATTTCCCATTAAATAAACAAGCGCCATGTTCATTACGGGGCACCGGATCTCGACCGATCGTGCTGTATATGCGTTGCCGGCTATCGTAGATTATGTTACGTAGATGCATCCAGGGCTTAGACCGCAGCTTGCGGTTTCCGGATACGTATGGGTCTGCCGTGGATGTGCGAGAGCTACGATGCTGGCCTTCGGAATTGAACGTAAGGGAACGAAGATTACTTGGCCGCTTTTGTGTCGAACGATCGCGTTCGTGTAACCCGGTTGCGAAATATATTCCGTATCGTCCTCTTCCTGGTGAACGTTATCGAAACTATCGCGTCCACCCCCCTTGGAGTTTTTGTACCCGATTTTTACTCGATTTTTCCCGCACTTGTATTTCGAGGATCGGGATAAAACGTTGCTCGACGCGGTGGATTCGCGAATTATGCGGCAAGATTTCATCGGGTGTAGCCTCGGGATTTGGTTTGGGCCGATGTAACGCTCGAAAACAGCGCCGCGCCGGCTCCAAATGGGATCGTTCGAATTTGGAAACGCGGGCAAACGAAAACGCTCGACGCGATTTCCGGATTTCCCGTTGTTGTCATTTTTTTTCGTCGCCACCCTCCGCGTAATCTCTTTTTTCACGATGGTCTCTATCGGAAACACATAGTCATCGCGCGTACGGACGGGTACGCGAAACATTGTAACTCCTGCTTGCTGATAATTAGCGCATCCATCAGCCGCAGCAAGCCGCCAGCTAATGCCGATCGTACGTTATCGTTATCACGGTCTCCCCATTTTGTCCTACCGCCGTTGGCCCCCCTGCCCGTCCGCCTCCCCGTTGGTCCAACGTCCACCACGGACCCGTCTATATTTGTACATACGTGGTCCGTGCTCGACCCACAACCAGCGCGACGTACCATCACCAACGCCGACCAGCGAATCCCCTGGCCACCCTCGCCCGCCTTGTCCACCCTATATCGGCAGCCAACGCATGAGCTGTCGATACGACCAATAATCTAATAACCAGTCACCGGCAATGTGTCGTAAGTCACTGGGTCTGCAGATTTTCGCCGACGCCGGTCACTCCGCCGGGAACCAATAACGCGTCCCCCCTTGAATTATCAATTCATCGGTCTAGAGGCTGCGATCGACGAAAGAACGAACGGCCTTCGGCTAGGAATATGAGATTTCGTCCCTGATTTACAACCGCGCCGGCTTCGCTCGAGATCCGGAAGCTGCGGGTACTCGTGTCGCCGACATGGCGAAGAAAATTTTAAATCGACGATGGGTCAGGTTACTTCGAAAAAAAAATGCCAAGTTGACCCGAGAGATGGTCTTCTTCGTGTCTTCGAAGAATGTTAGAGGGTAAAGTGAGCCATCATCCTTCCAACAGATGGACCGTGAATCCGATCTCCGTCTCGGACTTTTGCGGTTCTACCGATCTTCCGATACATTGTATCGCGTCCAGGTAAAAAGAGGGCGCCCTCGTTGTTTTTTTTTTTTCTTCTAAACGTCGGTAGACTCGATCGAATTACAGGGGAATTACTGGATCGTGATAGCGCCGCGTCGTTGTCGGTGCATGCGCGCATCTCACGGCCGCGGGCCGCCAAATGATCCAGAACACCGGTGGGAATTGGTTCAGCATCGAAGGGGTTAGGAGGGAGGACCAGGGTGGCGGAGGCATCGTTATAACTAACCGGGCTGATCTACGACCTGTTTAGTAGTTCTATATCAGCGCTGCACCATGCTTCGGTACACGCAATCGAATTGCCTCCTCTGCCGATAATATCTGACTTAAGTAGGTAACCATCGCGCGTTTGGCCGCGCGCGGGCAGCCCTCGCTCACCATAGACGCATAAATAGAGGTAGCGGCCGTGCACGTGCGCAAATAACTAGAATATGGATGACAGAGAGCGGCCCGGGAGGAAAGAAGTTGTTCGTAGATGCTAGATTACACCGGCCAGTACGTTTGTAGCCCGCGATACGTGTAAACGGCTCTGTCTGGTTAATGCGCCGGCTAACCCTCTCCTCCTGCTTCCCCTTTCATATGGTTGCATTATACTTTCAATAGGTTGCTTTACGATCGTGACTAACTAAACTGGTTACACGATAAACGAGTTAATGATCGATGCAACTGAAACACCGTAATTCGAGGCACCCGGGGCTGAAATTGATTATACTATTCTGTTATTGCGGTGAGTTACAAGCGGCGCGGCGCGCGCATAATTGCCGCGTCCTGGAACCGAGTCGTTCGACAATTGAAATTTCCCATTTCGAGCAATTAAGTTAATCCTTTTCGCTGATGATCGCGCGCATTAACCGTGCCCGTTGCGATTTACGATCTATCAATCGATATTCTAGACCGCTCGCAGACGCCCCATTAGACCTTGTCTTCGAGTTATGGTCATTCTCGCGTTCCAGCGATACTTCTGGCAAGCTTCGCCGATCCAACTGGTTTCGTTCGACGTCCACAACCAGAGTACGATGTCTCGCGAGCAAACTGCTATTTTACAAACGTTACTTTATAGGTGTCTATGAATCATGTCAATTATTCGATTCGGTTCTCGGCGAACGTTGTACGTCGCGAATGAATAAAGAGGCATCGTTACGACTCGGCTTCGTCGGAGATCGTGGGTATTTGTTTCTTTTCGTTATGATAATCTAGTCGTGTTAATTGCCGACCACAGTTTCTAATTAACGTAACCGAATAAAAAAAAATTGGTATTGAAATTGAGAGAAAAAATTCTATTGGTAATGAATTATTCATAACACGAACGAATGGCGGATAGAAGTCAACCGCAGAAGCAACACAAGTGGTGTATCGATTAGACTAAGTGCGGTTAGTCGTTACAGAACGATAAAAAACTATAGCGCATAAACAAAAGGAAATCATCGATTAGAGTAAAACTACTGGGAAGAATATGGAGTCACTTAAATGTTAATCAACAGAGATATCGGCTATTATCAAGTATCGCCTGAGGAATACTCCGATAAAAACCGGTATTTATGATTGATAATACATGGCATAAGCGCCAATATTCACTTAATTACAAATAAGTAGATTTATGAATCTTGGATAATACCCCTGGGAAAAAACGTGTACAGTATCAATAATATTCAGTTACGTATAATTGGCTATTCTTTAGGTCTTGCAGTTGATCTTAGGTTCTAATTACGTGGTGTTGGGTATTTGGGTTCCGATGTAGGTTTTCGCATACCGATTCCACCGATACGTCAAACATGCGAGACTCGGAATTTATCTGAAATACTTCCGAGATTCGACGCGAGTGAATTTGTACCGGCGGGCGTCATTTTCACTTCACGGCAGATCGAATGTATAATGAGGCAAGGAGATTAAACACCCACCGTCGTTGAAATACGGGAAACGCATTTGTCGATGTCTAATAGAATATTAACGAACACAATCCGGGGCGTACGATGCCTCTGTGCGCGTACAAAATGCATTCAGTAGCTAATCGATCGACGTTTCATCACGCGCGCGGAATTGCCAGCGAAATGAAAAACAAGAGCGGTAGGGGTAGGGGCAAACGAACGATAGACGAAGCAGGGGTGCGAAGAGGCACCGGGGATCGTTAATTGTTTAATCCTGTCCGATTGGCGTGGATATTTTTAAATATAAATCCGCGATCTAGAAATTGAACTATCCGATAGAAAATTGTGTTGTCCGATGGCCGAAATATCGCCGACCCCGCCGAATGACTGAGCACGATTTATGGCTTCATTTATGACGGGCAAGCCGAGTTATTCTCATTGGCTCGGTTTTAAAATGTTTCGATCGATCGCGCCCCCGGCATTATACGCGCCCGGGAGCTGCTTGAAGCATTTTTACGATTTATGACGTGTAGCCCACACGATAAATCATTTTTCGACGTATAATTCAAAAATCGACTGTACGCTCCATTTCCTCTTCATCGCTTCCGTTTATTTTATCTCGATCTCCGCTCGTAGTTGACAAGATTTTTACACATGCGCACAGCGCTGTGACGTTCTTCCCGTAAATTCTTCAGAACCATACTCCCATCACCAAGTTATCCCCGTTACAGTTCTCGAAACTGTTTTCTACGATACAAGATTTCCTGATTTCCTGTTTATGAAACTAAACGAACGATTTCCCAGACCCTCGGAGTCCTCGAATGCCCGATCCCCGACGAGAGCGATTTATTCGGGTCGATGGTCCATCGGCACTTGTTTACCCTTCCGTGAGCAAGAAACCACTGACTCTACATGCAGACTTTTCTCTGTCACAGGTAAGGAAGATATTGCTAAGCCGCATTGGACATGGTTGCAAGGTGAGTTGTGCTTCCTTAAAACTTCATTAAGGCTCGCGAACGCTTCGTAAACTCGAGCTTTCACCGGTCGCGGGGATGTTTCGAACGGACTTCACGAAAAATTCTGCGACCGGCAACCGAACGAAAAATCATCTTGCGAGGCGATCGACGGATCGAGGACTCGAGTCGTATTGAAATGATTTTTCGAAATGGTGATAGTTTCGTGCCGAATTCGGATCACAGTTATACCGCGCGTCATAGATTTATGCGGAGCGAGTCGCAGATGCCACGAGGGTGGTAGCCCTCGAATTTCCTCGAATTCGGTTTAGTCCTGTGGCATTTTCGGGCGACACGGGAGACGTGCTTCCAAGAATAAAGAGTCGTGGGGTGAATTTTCATCTTCGGGTCTCCCTATCCGTTGGGAAGGTGCCTCTCCTCCCCTTCGATGACGAACTCCTTCCACGCGAAGCTTGGGGAGAAGGATCGCGAGGAACAGCTGCGGGCGTTTCTCGGCGACGCGACGAGAGAACGTCTGTTTCTCTTTTTCTCGAGAAAAGGAGCAACAAAATGTCGGAGAAGCAGGTTCACCACGCGGGTAAACATATAGCGGTGATCGCGTTGTGCAAGGGGAGGAACAGAGAGGAAGAAAGCCGAGGGAGAGGACGCGAGAGTGAACCGGAGAGAATACAGAACGATGCCTTCGAGGGTGATCAATAAATATTGGCTCTCGGGGGTGAAATTGGGGTAGCCGACTACGGACTATGGCGACGGAGGGCGAGAGGAAGGACAGTCGTGCTGCTGCGGTTGCCGCCCCTTTCCTATGGCACACGACGTATGGCAGATATAACCACTTGGTATAGGCAATGGAGAATCGCTCATGGACCGTAATTCCCTCAGACTTTCTGATCGATACTCACTTTAGGCCATTCCGCCGCGAAAAACGCGGAAAGGGTCGCGCGGCCGGATTTACGAGGTAAACCTGGCAAAACGGCCCTCTGCCCACCTACCCCCACCCCCGGTAAAAATTCGATGGCGCAGCGACAGTTTCGCGCAACCACCACCCGCCATAAGTCGAATTCTATATGGAAATTCTCCGTGGAATAGATGTAGCGTCGATATCGGGACAACGTACACGCTCGATTCAATGGGGAAGAGTATATTCCCGCGATCGCTGCTCCCCGACGCGAAATTTCGTTCCGCTTATTTCTCTTGTACGCGGTGAAATGATTATGCGACGATAGCAGCCGGCGCTGAGACGCGATTTGTTTTCGTTAATTGCCGCTTTAATTTGCAATTTTGCAGTTTTAACCCATTCGTAAATTTATCGTGAAAATGGTGCATGATTAGGGTGCAAAAAGTGGCATGGGAGTGGGTCAAGTAGCAACCCCTCCTTCGATTGCCACCGAGCGACGAAGGATTAAACGCCTAGGGATGGGAAGATCCCCATTGATGGAGGGTTATTCGGGCCGATGAGCTGCATGATAGAAGCATCTCGATATCCGGCTTATCCATTCGCGGATCGTGTTGACTCAGAGATCTCCGTTATCACATAGGCAAAAGAATCTCAACACCTGATAAATTGCACTCGAGATGCATTGCAATAAAACAGATCGGTAATGAGAAATATTACCTGGAACTCGAGCATACAGTTCACGGAACGTAACAGTGTCCGCTACGTGTAAATCGTTGTTGGGGTGGAAGGCAAGAAAAGCTCGGTTCCTAGATGAGTAAACGAGTCAAAGTGTCTCTCCTGTAATAGGATTTGAGGACTTCACGGGGACGATTGTAAGACCGAACGGATTAATTCTCAACGGCAAGAGACATTTCTTCCCCTCGCCCTCCCTCAATTGTCTCCGCCATCTTCCGCTCTTTGCTAAATAGAAATCCTCGTACCTCCTCCGTGGAGTGGTTTCCGTGAATTCGGTTAGAATTCGGATGAGGAAACTGGATGCTTCCCGAGGCGTGAAATGGCTGCGTTAACCGCTTGCACGAGCTGAAAACCCGCGCAAGGAATGGGGCGGACGCCTCCTTCTCCTCGCTCGTCCTATCTCCTCCGCGAGTCGTTTCTGTCTCTCTTATTCCATTCTTTTCCAGGCTTCCGGCCAGAGACAACGTTGTTTAGTAATACCATGCCTCAGACTGCGCCGGAGGGTCATAATAGAATTTATGCATTTCGTGGTCTTCCGTTATTCTTTACGGATACGTCTCTGCGATAGTTCGCGTTCCGTTAATCTGTCTGCGATCGTATCAAACCCCTTCTTGCGTCTATATTAATCAGATCCAAGAAAAATGTCGCTTCTTCCATGAATCTTCTTCTTCAAATCAATACAAAGCTCTTCGTAATATACCACGTCGTTCTTCGCGCAATCGATTACACTTTATTGACTTTTTTCCACGTTCATACACCGAAGGCGTGTCCCAGGATAAATGGTCGCGAAGTTTATGCACCCTCTCAAGAAAAATCCCTCCACCCTACTGCTCGCTCTTAAATTTATTAACTATAAATTGACAGAATGTTATCCTATTTGAAATTCCCGGGGAATATTTTTATCCTGGTGGAATGAGCTGGTGAATTTTCCACCCCGAGAGGCGCGAGACCAATCTTTCCCTGTCTTCCGACGCGTCGCCCCTCTTTGTTTTCGAGATGGGGGGAAATTTTGTGTGGATCGCGGTTCGAATACGCGGATAAGCAATATCATCGTCCAGATCTCACCGAGAGGTATAAGACGAGAGTTATGCGGCCCGCTATGCGCGAGGGAATCATAGATCAGCGGCCGGGACGTCTGCAGGGACATGGAAGCGAACGTGAACGAACGGAGAACCACCGCCATCATCCCCGTGGAACCCCCTTTTCGTTCTTCTACAACCCCACCATTCTTCCAAACCAACCCCCGACTGGTCTCTCCCTGTCTCCCTCTCGTCGCTACCGTTCTCTCACTTTCTCTTTCCTTTGTCTCTCCGTCCCTCCTTCTCCTCGTTTCGCTCTCCAGGTCTCCGGCAGTCTCTTTCCCTCGACATTCGTATCTCGCTATCTTGGAGACCCAGCCACGGGTCCTCTACGTGTTTGTCTTTGTACGTTTACGTGTATGTTGCGCGCGCGTCTACCGTTTGTACACTTGTACCGGGGGTGTCCGTGTGTCGCGTGTGTCCAAGATAGAACGTGTATATCATCGATATGTATACCTACGTAAAATGCCAAAGCAAGCGCATAAGGCGACGCGGGGAGATCTAAGTACGAGTATACACACAATACTGGGTGTGGCATCCAGGCTGAACTATTATTTCACCCGACGGAGGTGTATTATGGCTCCCGAGACGCTGGAGGAAACTCGAGCTCTGCTTCAACGTACGTGTACGTTCATGTGTGAGTAATTCTTTTCTATCGGGAATAATTGCTCGCGGAATGTCACGGGCCGACCCGGCAGCCGAGAATGCCCCCATTTCGCCCCGGTAGTTTTGTTTAGGGGAAAATGTTGCGCCGTTTTTATTTCTATTGCGGATCGTTCGTGGTTCGGGGAAGAAGCGTTTTAGCTGCCCGAGAATTTCGCATTTCGCTCAAGAGATTCGTTTATCCGGAATAGTTAATAAGCTTAGGTAATTGGCCGCGGATAAGGACGGCGTTCTCGTTGTAACGAGAATTAAGAGCAGCGAATGAACTGGTTCCGTCCCGTGGTAGTGGTTCTATCCTATTTTTTCGCCCGGCGGAACGTGAATTAAGTCCCTTCGCTATCTTCAGTCCTCACGTAAATTACACCAGCTCCCATGGAGAGAAATGGCCGCCTCTTCTTTTCCCCGTCCCTTCTTCCCCTATCACCCTTCTCCTCTCCACTCTCTCCCTCTTCTCCTCTATGCAAGTATAACTATACTTAGGAACAATTGTACGAAATAATGCAATAGCAAATCAACGCCTACTTTCACTTTTCCTTAAAAGCACTCTCTTTTTACAACTTTATTCATTCGGCATAGATAAAATTTCCCGCGAATTATCAACCGACCCCTCAACTTAAGTACATTTACTCGTTCATTTTTAATATTTCTTTCGCGTTACATTAAATCGATGAGACCTTAAATTATCGAGCCAAGCCTCTCGAGTGTTATAATTCAGAGCTTCGAGGGTTTCTTGCTTTATTTAACCCCAGCTACTTTTCTACTCGGATATCATCGGTAATATTATTCTCGGAAACGCACGCTCTACGTTCGCAACAATTTCACGAGTCTCTAGATTCAAGTGGTTTTACGGTAGCTCCGATGCTTCGATGCTTCGAAAGGGTTGAGCATAACTCGAAACATATTATGAACACATACATAAACATCCCTTGGCGTTATCAGTTGTCGGACGCCGGCGCGCCGGATATTGTCGCATCCTCCGTTTTGCTCTCCCTATTACACGGCGCAGAACGAGACACAAACGTGCTACCCCAACAGAACCCGGGAAACTCAGCTGGGGGTGCGACTAAAACGAAACAAGATCCTTAACGATCCGCGATGCGTGATATTATCAGATTTCTAAGAGGATGGACGAAAGCAATTAATATTACCGCGATTTTGTTAACCGTTCTCGTTAATAATTGCGTCGGTATTAGCCTGTGCGGAAATTAAATTCATAGGAAAATACATTTATTCTGTGGCTGATACATAAAGAAGAATTTTAACAAAATTTTTTGAAGCATCGCAAGCATAAAAATATTCGTTTTGAGCGAGTTTCACTCGGAGCTCCAGGGATTCTTGTTTTTTTCCTTAACCGTCGAAGGATGTTTTATGCCGTCGCGCGCCCGACGACAAAAGAACCGGGACTTTTACTTTTTTATTGCCTGGGAATTGCGTCTCGACTGTGCACCTTTCCCGAAGCAGGGGTGGGTTTACCAAGGGGGGGCAGTAAAAAGCAGAGAAACTGACTTTCCTCGGTGAAAGTCATCCTCTACCCCCTATTAGAGCCCCGAGTACTTTGTTATTTTCAGAGGAAAAAAGCAGGCGACGCTTTTCGTTCGGTGAAAGTTTCGGGACATGGCACGGTGGTCTGC